CATATTGCAGGTGATTAATGAATCTTCTTCCTATCCTGATACCACATTTTTCTTCATATAATCCTTCTTTCTTCTTTGTTCAGTATGCAGATTGAATAACTATTGTGAAAGAATACAATGTTGGTGCACACCTTTCCTAATTTTAAACCATTCATTGTAACCTTATTCTGTTCAAACAACTGGCTTAAAATCCAGAAAGGTCTGCCTCAGCATTGTTTTCTTTCACCATACTTATTCAGTATGTATGCTGAGCAAATAATCTTGAGAAGATGGATTATATGAAGAAGAATGTGGCGTCAGGATTAGAGGAAGACTCATTTATAACCTGATGTATACAAATATCACAACCTTGCTTGCTGTAAGAGAAGAAGACTTAAAATACTGATGAAGATCAAAAACTATAGTCTTCAGATGGATTTCACCTCAATGTAAATACAACAAAAATCCTCACAACTGGACCAATAAATAACATTATTATAAATGAAGAAAAGATTGAAGTCAAAGACTTCATTTTATTTGGATCCACAATCAACACACATAGAAGCAGCAGTCAAAAAGTCAAACAAGAAGACTGTTGAAAGTACCGTGGACTGCCAGAAGAACAAACAACTCTATGTTGGAAGAAGCACAGCCAGAATGCTCCTCGGAAGCCAGGATGGCAAGACTTCATATCTCATACTTCAGATATGTTATAAGGAGAGATCAGTCCCTTGAAAATGACATCATACTTGGGGAGTCAGCGAAAAAGAAGAAGCTCCCCAAGGAGATGAATTTACACAGTGGCAGCAGTAACAGGATCAAACATTACTATAAATGGGAGATGGTGTAGGACCGGATAGTGTTATGTTTGATTGTGCATAAGATTGCTATGAATTAGAACTGACTCGATGATACCTAACAACAACAATATTGCATTAGGTAAATCTGCTGCAAAAAAACCCCTTTAAATAAAGTGTTAAAAGAGCAGTGATTAGACTAAGGTGCACCTGACCAAGCCGTAGTATTTTCAGTTGCCTTATATACATGTGAAAGTTTGACATTGAATAAGAAGAACATAAAGAATCAATGCATTTGAATTATAGTATTGGAGAAAAATATTAAAAGTATCATGGACTGTCAGAAGAACAAACAAATCTGTGTTAGAAGATGTATAGCCAGAATGCTCCCTAGAAGTCAGAAAGGTGAGACATTGTCTCTCATACTTCGGGCATGGTATAAGGAGGAGTCATTCCCTGGAAAAAGATATCATGCTTAGTAAAGTGGAGGTTCAGAGAAAAAGAGGAAGACACCCAACAAGATGAATTGGCACAGTGGCAGCAGCAATGTGTTCCCACAATTGTGAGGATGGTCTAGGACCTGGCAGTGTTTTGTTCGGTTGTGCATAGGGTTGCTGCAAGTTGGAACCAACTTGATGGCACCTAACAACAACAAAGATAACGGGACAAATTAATGCAGGTTTCCTTCTGCCTTTTTGGTGCTTTAAAATTCTTAATGGTTTCTTATAGCCTGTAAGTATTGTATGCTTCTTTTTTTTTTTTTTTTTTTTATTTTTTTATTGTGAACTATGAGATAGTTTACATGGGAGAACATTAGTTTTACATTCATCCTATCATATCGTTTCATTGCCATGGTTACAATCCCCTCCATGCATCATCAACCAACCAAAGGGTATACCCTGCAAGCCTGCTCCCCTGGTCATCAACACACAGCCCCTCTTCTCTGGGTCTAGAGTCCCAATCTGCTCCATTTCATCACGTCATTGTCTCTGCCTCCATCTCTGGCATCTCTGTTTTCTCTGGGTAGGGTCCCACACTCCAGTTTTCTCCCTTGATGGTTCCATTCTCTGCTCCTGAACTGCAAAGTCAATCACTCCCCTCCTTTTGCTACAAAACGTCCACCTTTACATTTCCAACCATTGCAGTCTGTCCTGATAACATTTATTCACCATTGTACCACAAGGGACCTATCTCCATCTTCTTTCATCAGCCCCGCCTAGACAGATTGGATACTATTCAGTGGAGATTCTACCTTCCTCCATGCCCTCTGGAGCTAGGCTCCCTCTTGAAAGCTTGTAAGCCTTCTTGCCTTTGTAGCCCCCCTCCCCCATTTTGGGTAGCCAATGTCCAAGTTGCCCATCCCTGTCTACTCTGTATGGAGGGGGTGGGAATGATCCTTGCTGTAAAGATTTGTTCCCTCTTTTGAGCTACTGCATCTATAGGTGTAGGTCAAGTTCATTAAATTGTATCAGATGACTCTCTTTTTTCTCTTCTTTATTCTTCCAGTTGAGCTCTGATCGAGTCATTGACGCCAGGTTGAGTGGGTATTATCTGCAAGTGTGTGTGTTTGTATGCCTATACCCGTTCTTCTTATCAGCTGGACGCTTCACTTTCCACTCTAGTCCTCTGTGGCTATGTCACTAACTCTGGGCCCATGAGTCCTCAGGTATTGCCACACTGCTGGCCAACCAGGTATCCACCATGGTTCACAGGAGTCTGTTGAATGTTGTAGGGCTTATCTCGCAGCTTCATTGCTGTTTTTCCCATTTTTGATGAGAACGTGGTCACCAATCAGAATGTGTATTCCCATTGAGCCTTAGTTATGGAAGGGGGTTTGCTCTGAGGGGACCCGACCACTTGCCTTGATGTCTCCTGGGCAAGCAACTTGCTTGTTCTTATAGTAATCAGTCAGACTGCCTTTACTGTTTTGTATTTTTCCTTTCAGTCTTTCTTTCAAGAAGTATATTCTGTTCTAGTTGCTCCAGGCTGGTCGGCTTGTCTTTTCAAGTGGAAATTTCCCACCTGAGAAGATTCTGGATGGGGTTCAGGATTCCACCTATGATCTTATGTAATGCAGAGGCTCCACAGGAAGCCTCCTTCACTGGGCACATTTTAACCCCATTTTAGGTATTCCATTCAGTTATAAAGGAGCACTGGTAGCGTAGTGGTTACAAGTTAGGCTGCCAGCCTCAAGGTCAGCAGTTCAAAACTACCAGCAGTTCCGCAGGAGAAAGATGATGCATTCTGTTCTCATAAAGATTTACAGCCTCAGAAACCCTGTGCAGGGCCACTATGAGCTGGAACCTACTCCACGGTACTTAACAACAACAACCAGTTACAGGCAGAAGATGGACTTACAAGCTTTCTATGGTGATATTTCTGGCTATTCCTTTCTCTCTCCCTCAAGTGTCTATTTTATAATGGTATGCCAGGGAAACCAAGATTCAAAAGACAGCCAAGCACCTTAACATTATTTCCTCCCTTTTGCCTATTCCAACCATGTCTCAGTCCCTGTATCCCAGAGCCCTGTTGTTCCAAGGTTGTGCATACATCATTATTTACTTCTGTCCTGCTTAGCCCATGCAAACCTGCCTTATTGTTTTCCCTTCCACCTTGTTCTTCCATTCCCCTCCCCCTTCTTGTGTAATTCCCCCTTTCCTAGCACCCAATCTATCCTGTGTTCCACTTTCCCCTCCCTCCTCTCACCCCACCCCCACCTCCTAGTAACCAGCAAAGAATCCCCCTCCTCCCCTCCCCTTTTAGTATGGGTTCTTTTTCTTAGTCTTTTACAGTAGTGGTCCTATGCAGTATTTCTCCTTTTGTGACTGACTAATTTCACTCAACATAATGTCCTCAAGGTTCATCCATGTTATGTGATAACTTACAGCTTCCTTGTTGTTCTTCAGGGTAGCATAATGTTCCATTGTGTGTCTGTACCACACTTTGTTTCTTGTAGTAGTGTTTTGTAGTTTTTGTATCGGTCCTTTGTTTCTCTGGTTATATTTATTACTAGCTATTTCATCCTTTGGGCGGCTATTGCAAATGGTATTGCTTTCCTAATGTCCTTTTCAGTGCTGTTATTTTTTGTATAGAGGAATTCAACTGCTTTTTTGTGTTGTTCTTATAACCTGCCACTTTGCTGGATCTTCCAATGAGGCCTAGGAGCTTTTTTACTGAGTCTTTGAGGTTTTCTATGTACAGAATCATATCGTCTGCAGGTAGAGAGAGTTTTACTTCCTCTTTGCCAGTTTGGATACCTTTGCTTTCCCTGTCTTGCCGTATAGCTCTTGCTAAGACTTCCAGCACAATATTGAATAGGAGTGCTGACAAAGGGCATCCTTGTGTGTTTCCTGTTCACAGAGGGAAGGCTTTCAGTTTCTCTCCTTTGAGAGTAATGTAGGCTGTTGGTTTTGTATATATGCTCTTAATTATGTTGAGAAATTTCCCTTCAATTCCTTTCTCCTGCAGAACAGCTGGAAGTTTCGAACTGCTGCCCGTGAGATTAGCAATCCCATTCGTTAACCACTAAGCTACCAAAGATTAAGTTTCTTAATTGTAGACAAACTAAAATCACAAGTACTTTCCTAGCTGTTGCGATGATTCTTAACTAACCTGGTTTTGTTTAGGGTAATTCTATTGTCTTACAAGCTAATCCATTGGCATCCTGCGATGACTAGAGATTTGTTTTATTAATATGTGATGGCCAACTGAAAGACTGGTGGCTGGAACCTACCTGGGTACTCCAGAAGTAAGACTTGGCAATCTGTTGCCATAAAGATTGCAGCATAGAGTACCTTATGGAACAATTCTTCTCTGTCACATAGGATTGATATGAGTTAAAAATGGACTTGTTGACATTTAACTACATATTAACTGCTACTGCAATTGGCTGAAAAGACTGTCCACTTCATTGTGATGTGATTTTGTGTTTTTGCCTTTTTTTAAGTTGGGAGCTGAAAGTGCTGACAGCATTGGTGCTGTGTTAAATAGCAAAGATGAGCAGAGAGAAATTGCTGAAACAAGGGAAACTTGCAGGTCAGTTGGATCAATTGTTTTCAAAAGTGTCAGGTCAACATTATGACAGGATCTTTGTTTTAATAAATAATCCTAGGTATAAACTGCTTTATTACAAAAAGCATCAAAATAAAGATTTAGAAGCACTGGTTTTTATTGTTAATTTATTCATAAATTATTAAAAGATTTATTTTCTAAATAAAGTTCCCATGTATAAAGTAGTTAGAAAATGGAAAGTTTGACTTGAGAGTTAGTATACATACAATAAATAGTTATATTTTAAGAGAAAATTGATTTGGCCAAAAAAGTGGTATTCATTTGATAATTCAGAAAGTATTTCAAGATTTTGCAGTATGGGCACTCCTCAGGTTACAAACATGATCGGTTCCTAAGTGTGTCTGTATGTCATATTTGTAGATAAGTCAAAGTAGGTGCCTATGGTTCTTATATGGCCTTAGTATAATATAAGAAAAGGTGAAAACCTTTTCAATGATTTAAAGTCTTCTCATGCAGCAAGTGAAGGTGATTGTTAAGAAGAATTTGTTGGGAGTAGGGTGAGTTCAATTCTTTCAAAGAGTGGGAAATTTTACATAAAAGGGCATGTAAGAGCTATCTTATCTGTAAGTCAAGATGTTCCTAACCTTTGGGTTACTTAGAATGCTTACTGTATTCCAGTTGTTTCAATCTTCGTTGTGCACAAGAGAGATTAGGTCACTATGTAATATAGGAGTTTCTTTTTGCAGTACATCCCTCACAACAATTTAGTTTGTCGTTTGGTTTCTTTCTCCTAAAAATAAACTACAGAATTATCAGTTGAGCAGGTTATGTGATTTTTTTTTTTTTTTTTTGGTGTGGATGATTTATAAACTGGACAAGTAGACTCTTTTTAACTAAGAACTGAATCAATAGCACCCAACAACGACAGTAAAAAAAAATTGCATTGTTCTGTTTTTATAGCTTGTTACTAAGTAATAATAGGTATGTTTGTATGAAACGGCTTTTTTAAACCCCCTTAAACTTCATGTATAAGATATGTTTATGAGTGATACTTTATTTTTGAGTTTTAGGGCTTCCTATGATACCTCTGCTCCAAATACAAAACGTAAATATCAAGATGAAGGAGAGACAGATGAAGACAAAGTGGAAGACTATAAGGCAAGTTGAGAGCAGAGCTATTTAACTGTCAAGTAAAAAAATTACTACAATAATGTATCATATTAGGGAAAACAAACTTGAGGAACAGCAGAATTTTAAAATGTGCTAAAATAGTTGTCAGTAGTGTTTGTGTTATAAATTGAAACCTTCATACTAGTTACCTCATTTTAACTTAAAGTTGTGTGGATTAAATTAGATTATATAATTTATGTATACAATTGTTTATACAAGTTAGCATGTGCCTGCTACAATTATTATTGTTGTTAAGTGCCATGGAGTCAGTTCTGACTCATAGTAACACTGTTTGGGGCTATTGGTTTTAAATTTTTTTGGGAGCCGAAAGCTTCACCTTTTTCCCGCTGAGCAGTTACTGAGCTCAAACCATGGACCTTTTGCAGCTCACTGCTTATCATTTGGAGCCACTGCACTGGAATAATCATTGGTGGTGGTGGTTTATGTGCCGTGGAGTCGGTTCTGACTCATAGCGACCTGCACAGGGTTTCTGAGGCTGTAAATCTTTACAGGAGCAGAAAGCCTCATCTTTGTCCCATCGAATAGCTGGTAGTTCTGAACTGCTGACCTTGCAGTTTGCAGCCCGATACGTAACCGCTATGCTATCAGAGCTCCTTACACCAGGACTTGTTGTTGTTACATGCTGTGGAGTCGCTTCCGACACATAGCGACCCTGTACAGGGTTTCCAAGGCTGTAAATCTTTATGGGAGCAGAAAGCCTCGTCTTTCTCCCATGGAGCACTTGACTGTTATTTCAAGAGGTTGCAATACTGTCATTTTCAATGGTTTTATTCCATGTTAACAATATGTGTTGTTGTTAAATGTCGTTGATAGGGTTTCCAAGGGGCAGCTGGTAGGTTTGAACCACTAACCTTGTGGTTAGCAGCCCCGTGCTTATACTACAGTGCCATACCAGGGCAACATTGTTGTTGTTGTTAAGTACCATGGAGTCAGTTCCGACTCACAGTGACCCTACACAGGGTTTCCAAGGCTGTAAATCTTTATGGGAACAGAAAGCCTTATCTTTCTACCACGGAACAGCTGGTAGTTTCAAACTGCCAACCTTGAGGTAGCAGCACGATTTGTAACCACTTTGCTTCCACGGTAACGTAGTACAACTAAAATATTGTAGAACACATGGACTAGACAACATGTGGAGGTATTTCTAAAAAAGGCTCAGGAAAATACCCACTTCTGTACTTATAATGCTTATAATTGCACACTGAAATATTTAGTTGAAAAGACAGTATTAAGGAGAAGAAAGAAATAATCTACCTTCGTTTTTTTGTTTTGTTTTGTTTTTTGTTTTCAAATTAATTGTGCAAGTATACATAGTTAAGAGGAGTCCTGGTATGGCACTTTGGGTTAATGCACTAGACTGTAAGGTTGGTTTGAACCTCAAGGTCGGTGGCTCAAGCTCACCAGCAGCTCCTTGGAAACCCTACAGGGTTGCTATGAGTCAGAACTGACTTGATGGCACATAACAACAACAATAACAACAACCACAGCATATTTAAGAAAGGAGAGAGTGTATCTTTCCAGTAAATAAATCTCTAGGAAGTTCAAATCCTTAGGAAATAAAGTCTCACCTTATCCTAACGTGTGAAGGAGCCCTGGTAGTACAGCAGGTCGAGTGTTGGTGGTGGTTTAAACCCATTTACCACTCAGGGAATAACATGAGACTGTGTCTTCCTGTAAACATTTACAATGTTGGAAAGCTTATGGCACAATTCTACTCTGTCCTGTATAGGTTCTTTATTGGTCGTGGTCTATGTCATAGCAATGGGCTTGACTTTTTGGCTTGTGTGTGTGCATTGCATTATGATATATGCAAATGTATAATTTATGTGGTAGGGTAGTGGTTACGAATTGGGCTGCGAACCTCAAGGTTGGCAATTTGAAACTACCAGCCGTTCTGCGGGAGAAAGATGAGGCTTTCTGCTCCTGTAAAAATTTACAGCCTCGGAAACCCTGTACATGGTCACTATGAGTCGGAACCGACTCCATGGTACTTAACAACAACAAATAATGTATGTTTTTTTAATTTTGTTAGATTGAACCTTATGAAATAGTGTTCACATGCTAATAGTTTTTACTTTTTAAAATTTCCTCTTAATCCACTGTTTAAATTGGACCTTTTTTTGAAAAAAACAAAAAACAAAAAAACTTTTTTGTGTGAATTGAGTGTTGAGTGAAGGTTTACAGAGCAAATCATCAGTTTTACATTCAACAAATCATATACTTTGCTTCATTACAATGATTGCAATCCCCTTCATATACAATCAATTAATAGTATTTACCTCAGTTCACTTTAACTTGTATTCCACCCTGTGTCTCCTACCACCTTCATCTTTCCTCTGCTAACCTCCTTCTTGTTGTATATTGCCTTCCCTGTCACCCATGTTAACATGTATCTACTCTCTAACCTGTGAATAAATTTCCCTCCCTCTGTACCCTCCATAAAGGAGCTCTGGTAGTGTAGTGGTTATGAATAGAGCTGCTAACCTCAGGGTCAGCAGTTTGAAACTACCAGCTGATCTGTGGGAGAAAGCTTTCTGCTTCTGTAAAGATTTACAGCCTTGGAAACCCTGTACAGGGTGGCTATGAGTCAGAACCGACTCCATGGCACATAACAACAATACCTTCTATAACCATCATAGATTGTTTCTTCTATCAGGAAAACCTTTTTCTTTTCAGATAATTGGTCTGAAACAATGTTTGTCTCTTTTTGATTGACTAACTTCACTCAGCATAATGTCCTCCAGGTTCAGCCATGTTGTGAGGTGTATCTCTGATTTATCATTATTCTTAAACATTTTGTAATATTCCATTATGTATATGTACCCAAGTTTGTTTCACCATTCTTCTGTTGATGGGCATTTAGACTGTCTCCATCTTTTTGATGTGTCTCTTGTGGACAGCATGTTGATGGATCCTATTTTCTTGTTCATTCAACTCTTTATGTCTTGAGTGGTATGTTTAATCCATTTACATTCAGTGTAATTACCAATAGATATGAACTGACTACCATTTTTCTTTGTGTTTTTGTTGTTGTTGTTGTTGATTTGTTTTTTTGATTTTTGTGATGCTGCTAGTTTCTTTGTTCCACATCATTTTCTGTGCTGACTTTAGTTTTGTTTGTGGGTTTTCTTATCATTTTCATTTCTGTTGTGTTAATGTTTACTAAATCTTTCTGATTTTCCTCTTTTTTAAAAAAATTTTGGTGTGCACATATATTAGTTTTCTGTGAGTGCACCCTGTAATTTATTATCTTTTTCCCTTATTAGAATAATCTGTTTTATCTTAAAATCTACTCCTTGCCTTTTGGAAGTTCTGTATCTACACTAATCCCTCTTTTTGCTTTGTAGTTGATATGATTATTCATTGATATATCTGGCCCCCTATCTTCAGTATTGTGGGTGTGTTTTAATTTAAATACTTCAATATCTGGATTAAGGAGCTCTGGTAGCGTTGTGGTAATAAATTGGACTGTGAACCTTAAGGTCAGCAGTTCGAAACTACCAGCTGTTCCGCAGGAGAAAGATGAGGCTTTATGCTCCTGTAAAGATTTACAGCCTCAGAAACCCTGTACAGGGTCACTATGGGTCGGAACCGACTCCAAGCCACATAACCACCACCACCAACATATCTGCATTGGGATTCTTGGTATGGCTCACTCATTTATGCCAAGAAATTTGGAAGACAGATACCTGGCCAGCTGATTGGAAGAGATCCGTATTTGTGCCTACTCCAAAGAGAGGCGACTTTAATAGAAAGTAGAATTCATCAAACAATATAATATGCAAGTAAAATTTTGCTGAAGATAATTAAAAAATGATTGTAGCAGTATATCATCAAGGAGATGCCTGAAATTTCAGGTCAGATTCAGAAAAGGATGTGGAATGATGGATATCATTGCTGGCAGTGAGTGGATCTTGGCTGAAAGCAGAGAATACCAGAAAGATGTTTACTTATGTATTGACTCTACAAAGACTTTTGATTTTGGATCGTGGCAAACTATGGATAACATTACTAAGAATGGGCATTCCAGAACATTTAATTGTGCTCATGAGGAACCTGTGAATAGGCCAAGAGGCAGTCATTCTAACAGAACATGGGAATAATGAATGATTTAAAATCAGGAAAGACGTGTACCAGGGTTGTTTCCTTATTCAGTCTGTATGCTGAGCAGATAACCCGAGAGTCTGGATTATAAGAAAAAGAACGTGGCATCAGGATTGCAGGAAAAGTCATTAACAACCTGAGATCTGCAGGTGATGCAGCCTTGCTTGCAAGAAGTGAAGAAAACTTAAAGTACTTACTGTTGAAGTTCAAAGACTACAGCCTTCAGTATGGATTGCATATCAGTGTGAGTATACAAAAGCTGTGGTCCTCACAACTGCACAAGACCTCTTTAAACTGTTAAAGAGCAAAGATTTCGGTTTGAGACTAAGATGCACCTGACTTATGCCATGGTATTTTCAGTGGCGTCATATGAATATGAAAGTTGGACAGTGAATAAGGAAGACCAGAGAAGAATCAATGCATTTGAATTGTAGTGTTGGCGAAGAATATTGAGAGTACCATTGATTGCCAGAAGAACAAACAAATAGCTTTTGGAAGAAGTACAGCCAGAATCAGAATGCTCCTTAGAAGCCAGGATAGCAAGTGTTTGTTTCCCATACTTTGGACATGTTATTAGGAGGAACAAGTCTCTGGAGAAGGACATCATACTTGGAAAAGTGGGAGGGTGTGTGAAAAAGATTAAGCCCTCCTAATGAGATGGATTGACATAGTGGCAGCAGAAATGGGCTCACCACTAAACAAACCTGTTTTGAAGGAAGTAAAGCCAGAAGGCTCCTTAGAAGCCAGCATGGTAAGAGTTTGTCTCGTACTCTGGACATGTTATAGGAGTAAACAGTCTGTGGAGAAGGATGTTGTACATGGAAAGGTGGAGGGTACGTGAAAAAGAGCAAGACTCCCCAACAAGATGGGATTGAGGCTCAAAGGTAACAATGATTGTGAGGATTCTGTAGGAATGGGCAGTGTTTCCTTATGTTGTGTGTGGGGTGTCTGTGAGTTGGAACCGATTCGAGAGCTCCTAACAGCAGCAGCAGTTTATTACTGAAGATTTAAAAAGGCAAGTTTTCACCTACTTAGACCTAGTGAAAAAGTAAAGACTTCAATGACTTTAATGGTGATTTGAAACATTTATTATATTCTAGGAAAATATGATATTTATGTAGAGTCAATTAATTGTAGTGTCAAAATTAAAGAAATGGTTCCTCTGTACACATGTCTACTTGATCTTCTTTTTTCCAAGGATGAACTGGAAACGCAACAGGAGGAAGAAAATTTGCCATATGAAGAAGAGATTTACAAAGATTCCAGTACTTTTCTTAAGGTACGTAAATCATTTCCACATCATGTAGCTCTTTGTATTTGAGTTTTGTACTTGAAAAGATTTTTTAAATCTGCTGATTTTTAAGATTTTCTTTTTTTTGCCAATTTTTCCAAGATCATTTTGTAAAATAAAGATTGCTTAAAAATTATTCGTGTAATATTCTTTTGATATTTGGCATTTTAGGATGAGGTAATGGAGTATCAATAGCTGTAGCTCCTTAAGAATAGCACCATCATTTTTGTTGCAATGGTATAATACTAACTTTTAAAAATTTATACATTTGCTTGTATTTTATGTGACCTTTTAATAAAAAAAGTGCTGAGTTAGTGTACTTAACCATCAGAGTGCATGCTATTAATTTAATTTTGACTTTTTCTTTAGGGGACACAGAGCTTAAATCCCCATAATGATTACTGTCAACATTTTGTAGACACAGGACATAGACCTCAGAATTTCATCAGGGATGTAGGTATGTTGGATTTCTTGGGACTGTTCTCTAGCTGCTTCTTTATTATGTATATGTAATTGAACTGTTTTCTCTGTTATCTCTAACCAAATTGGTTTCCCCTTTGTGTTCATCCTACCGTCAGTAGACCTTCATTTTCCATCAAGCATGTTGATGTTGTTGAGTGCTGTTAATGTGATTCCAACTCGTAGTGACCCATGTGCTAGAGCAGAACTATCTCATTAGGGTTTTCTGGGTTCTAATCTTCATGGGAGCAGATCTCCAGGTCTTTACCCTCAGAGCTCTGCTGAGGAGGTTCTAACTACCAGGTGTTGTTTTTAATTAGATGCTGAGTGCTTAACTGTTGCACCACCAGAGCTCCTATGAAGAAATGTTACTCTTCTGTTTTTCCTTACTCTTCCTCTCCTTTTTTTTCTTCTGCCTTTTTTTCTTTTTGGTTCCCCTTTAGTCTTTTTAGTTTTGTTTTTTTTTTAACTGCTTAATTGAGATACATGCCTCAGGATTCACTTATTTTAAGCCTATGAATATGTGTTTTTGGGTTACTGGGTATTTTTTTTTGGCGTATCCACTGGGTAATGAACAGTTTTTCCTATCTTTTAATGTGCTGGTCTGCAAAGTCAGTTTGAACCACAAGGTTGGTGGTTCAAACTCACCAGCAGCTCCTTGAAAACCCTATACAGGGTTGCTGTGGGTTAGAACCAACTTGCTGACACTTAACAACAACAACAACAACAAATGAAATTCTGGGAAGCGCAGTGACTCTGTAGAATAAGCACTGAACTGTGAACCACAAGATTAGCAGTTTGAGAACACACCAGCAGCTCCACAAAGAAAGATGAGACTCTCTGCTCTTGTAAAGAT